CCACCGTGCCGTAGGCGGCGTGGATTCTGGAGTCCACGTTCAAGTCCAGCATGACGGCTTTCCTGGGGCGGGCGGGCTTTGTGCGTGCATGTGCCGCATTATATTGCACCGCCTGCAATGTGGCCGTCCGTGTGCGGCCGGGCGGCAGTGTCTTGCTTTGACTGGCATGGGCCGTGATCGCGAAGGCCGGGATCTGCGTGCGAGCGACCTTCAGCACGGCGGCGTGGTTTCGTCCCTTGTCCAGCTTCCAAGTCCGCGTCGCTGGCAGAACCGGGAACAGCCGGGCTCATTCGTGCCTTCGAGCTTCCAGTCGGCGTCCTCGAATTTGACGTACCTTAGGTGGGTCCGGACGTTCCCGTTTGAAGTAGCAGAGGTGTTTGCGGGTAAAATGCGGCCCGGCCGCACTATGTTCGGCTGCTGTTCGTTCTCTTGCCATTCCCAGGAGTGCACGTGGCCCAGGCGGCCCTTCAGCAGAGACTTCTTCGAGCGGTCCACGTGGTGCGTCAGCGCAACCGGCATGCCGATGGCCAGGGGAAGCATGCCGCAGAGCCCCTCCATGTCCATGTCGTGGTACTGCAGCCAGCGGATTTTCGCCTGCTTGTCGCACGCCTGGGTCTGGAGCGCCTCCACGCCACGGACCAGACGAGAGGGGTCTCGGCATCCCGGGCATAGGCCTTCGCGCGGTCCTTATTGATCTGGTATTTGGCGTCGTTGTTCGCCACGACCACGGTCGCCTTCACGAACTTCGGCTCTCGGAGTCGCGGGTCTTGGGGTCCGTCCACCACGCGCTTTCGGGACCGTCGTTCTTCCGGCGAGAGGGTGCAGCCTCCCACGGGGAGGCCGTGCAGGTACCTCCAGTTGTTCTCGGAAAGCTTTGCTTCTCGGAGCTCGTCCACGACCTGTGCAGGGAGTGTGTCGCTGGCTTCAACCTTTTTTTGTTGCTGCTTTTCTTGCTCTGTTGCTGTACTGGTTGTTGCTTGCAGGTCTTTCGTGCAAGGTGGTGCATGTCTGGCATATCGTGCAGGCATCTGCATGTGCTGCGTCTCTTGTTCGCGCCTGATTCCACCAGTCGTCTTTACATCTCATTCGCTCGATTAGCTCCGTGACGCCCTGCACCGCGCCCTCCCAGAAGAGGCTCTGTCCGTGGTCCACGAGGGGGTCCCGCTGCGGGGCTCCCGTGGCGGCTCTGCCGGGTGCCTGCAGTCTGGCGGGCAGGTCCGCCAGGAAGCCTCCTTCGGGCGGTGGTAGTTGCCGGAAGTCGCCGCTGAAGATCACGTTGAGCCCGGCGAAGGGTCTGACGTTGCCGGTGGCGTCGTGCTTCCATGGCCCGGACCTGGGTACCGTGCTGCGCGTGCGCATTTCCACCTGCCCCAGGAGTCGGGCACTGATGATGCCTACCTCGTCGGCGATGAGCCAGCGCCAGTTCGCTATTCGTTTGGCCGTGTCTGGCTTGCATGCCGTTTCGAGGCAGTCTCGCTCCTTGCTGAGGCCGAAGGCCGCGTGGAGCGTCTCGCCCTGGATGTCCGCGGCGTTGGTGGCTTGGAAGGCGGCGAACTGGAAATCGATGCCTTCCACGTAGCCCATGAACTTTTCGAAGAGGCTGCGCACGTACTTCAGCACGTGGGTCTTGCCGGTGCCCGGGTGGCCGTGCAGCAGCCAGATCATCGGCTCTTCGTTGTTCCGGACGGTGGCGTGAGCCGGCTCGAGCTTGTACTCGACGAGGACGCGTTCCACCACCAGCTTCAGGAACTCGTGCTGCTCCTCGTTGAGGTCGTTCCGCACTTCTGCGCTCTCGAGCCAGGCTCGCAGCTGCGTGTTGCTGACGGCCCGGTGGTGCCTGGCGGTGCCTTTGCGGCGGGCGCCGTCCAGGCCCGAGCCTTCTGCTTCTGGCGCCCTCTTGTTGCGGGACGCTCGTGCGGCGGCCAGCATCTGCCGGGCATCGGTGATGCCTTTGCTCGCGGTTGCTTCTTGGAAGAGTTGCTGGGCCACTTCTCGCGGGACTTCGGTGGCTTTGGAAGCCTCGCCTCGCCCAGCCAGACGTTCTGGGAGAGGCTCATCATCTGGATCGTGAGGTCGTGCTGGGTGCTGGTGGCGGGCGGCTCCGCTTCATCGGGCGGATCCTCTTCTTCTGCGTCTGCCGCCGCTTCTTTGCCGGCTCCTCGCACCCGCGTCTTTGTGGCCTGCTCGATTTCGTCTTCCTCGAAGTGGCAGACCTCGTCCTTCAGGTCCTCGTTGTCGCTGTTCGCGGCCAAGTCGTGGTCGGGCTGCAGGGATCGGGGCAGGCAGTACACGAAGGCGTAGTTCAGGACGTAGCGCTTCAGCTCCTCGGTGGGGAAGCCGTCGGCGTGCCTCCAGGCGCAGCGCAGGGCCTGGCGCCAGGTGCTCATCTCCGGCGTGCGCAGCTGGCCGATGTAGCGCACCGCTTCCGTGGCGTCCTCCGGGTTGCTGGTCCAGGGGCAGAACAGGAGCAGGATCTTCATGATGTGCTCCTCCTCGCTGCGGCTGCCGAGCGCGCCGTACAGCACCGGCACGTGGGGTCGCTTGCGTGGAATGATCACCCAGTCGTGGCGATGCCTCTGAGCTGAGCTGCCTTTGCCCAGCGGCATCCAGTTCTCGCCGCCTTCCTCCCGGATCAGGTAGTCGACGCCGCTGAGCAGCGCGTTCTTACCCAGTTGTCGTCTCAGCTTCGTCGTGCCGCTCTCCGTCAGCAGGGCGTGGTAATAGATGTCTTTCTGCCCGCGAGCCAGGGCGGCCTCGGCGCGTTCCTGCTTCTCCGCCGACCACGGGTACCTGGCATGATCGATGTGGTACCTCACGAACTCGAAGGCCGAGAGAGGCCGGACGCGAGGGTCGGTTCCGCGGTTCCCGTAGACGGTCCACAGCTGCGGCCGGGCGACGACCTTTCTCTTGTTCGGAGCGTCGAAGTTCCTGCTGAAGTCGCTCTCGAGCTTTTCTCGCTCCTGCCACGGCCGGCCTTCGATGGCCGCTCGCAAGAGCTCCATCCCGGTCTTGAGGGACATGTCCGCGACCTGGGCGGTCTTGATGGTTTCCGCCGCCGTGGGGTCGTTGCTGCCGGCGTTGTCGATCAGGTTCGCGCACTCCACGGAGCCGCGGACGACGCCGCGGGCGAAGGCGTCGGTCATGAGGCGCTTCGAGACTCGGGCGCCCACATAGCCGCTGGAGGGGTTGTTCTGCAGCTCCGCTTGCAGATCGTTCTGGCTCTTCTTCCTAGGTAATTGCAACCGGGCGCTGGTGTGCTTGGTTTGGTTGGATTTGGATTGTCGGGCAGGGCTGTGGGTATTGTGTCATGTCGTGCGACTACCCGGTGGGCTCCGTTGTGTCTTTCCACATTACTCTGGTTACTCTGGGGCTCTAGTCCTGCTCCGGGCAGATTTCTGCTGCGTAAGCGAAAAAAAAGAAAAAAGGGTCTACGGTTTAGGGTTTGGGGTACGGCGGGTACGGTTATGAAGATTGAGTCATTGAGGAAAGGTGCACAGTTTTTTCAATTCAAATTCAACCCTACAAACCAAAGCCCTAAACCCCTGTAAAATAGCTCGAAGGATTGCGGGAACCGTTGGTCCAAACATTCAATTGTAGTTGCCAGTCCATTCACTTTCGATGCAGTCGAATCTCAGTCAGGCGCAAAGAACAGAAAACCTTGGAACGATTGTTGATTGTAATTTCTGGCCATTTGATGAGCAACTGGTCTCAAGCGTTTTGTCATCAGCTGCATGGAAGCACAGAGTTTCCTGTCAGAGTGCGGATTCGGATGCTGGCTGCATTTTTCAGGCTCTAAAGTGTGTGTGTCCAGCTGTATACGAGGAACACTTCACGAGTCACCAGTGGCAAAAGACTCCTATCCCGCAAGGCTGCTACGATTTAGACAAAGTTGGCGGTCGCAGCAGTAAATCATAATATGCAGTCACAGATTCACCGGCGAGAATTGTAGCGCATAGTTTTTTTGAGTCTTGCTCTAAGATAAGGTAGTTGTCGGCCTTTAGTCTTTTGGCTACTCTCAGTAGATAATGAAGAAGTTTGAGTTGCATGGTCGAGCAAGACCAAGATGGGTCAGCAATCGTCCTTTTGGCAACTCCTTGGCCAGGCGTGTCTGGGGGACGTCAGCGGGATCGGTGGGCTGCTGGCTGTCGTAGATACAAGGCTTCAGACCTCCAGCTGAGGCATTCTGATGTAGAATACATTTTGGGCCTTTTTCAACCGTTGGACATTCCTGAGGGCTTGGCTGAGCAACTCCGCATTTGGAAGCTTACTGGGCGTTGGAAAGCTGACCTGCAGCTTGTGATTGGTGCCGCGAAGATTCGCAAACCTGGAGGTTTTCAGAACTTCGGCGCTTTGCGATGCAGGGAAGATCATGTTCTTTGGCATGCTTGGGGGCGGCCGCTGCCTCATGCTGCAACCCCACAGTTTCTGCTTTTTGATGTTTTGGACAGTGTTCTATTTCGGAATCCGCTTGATCTTCGCCCATATGTGGAAAAAATTCGGTTGGCAGAGCAACGATCTGCCTGGACTGTTCGGCTCAGTGCGGAAGTTGCGGACGGATTGCTGCAAACAGTATGTTCAGATGGCCGTGCTTGCCGGCAGTACTTTCAGGAATGGGGCATGCCGAGGAATCCTCGGGAACACGTGGTCTTCACATCTCTGGGTCCAATTGTGCATCTCACGGCTCGCAAGAGATGGCCAAAGCTTGGTGACATGGCCAGATGTACCCCGCAACTGTTGCGGACACCGCATGGCGCCTTCGCAGAACCCCTTATATTGCCTTAAGGCCTTGCATCAGCGATAAGCGATATTCAGCAGCATCCTTTCCCCTGCAACTATGGGTGCAGTCCTCCTTCATTCAGGGTTGTAGAGATTTTGGAATATTAGTCGTAGTGTCGCTTTATCAGGTTAAGTTGCTGTCTAGCTTAGTTCTGAAAGTTTCCTGGGTGAATTATCGTGTTGTGTTGGTTTTAGGCCTTTAGGCTTTAGGGCTCGGTTCTGGCATGGTTCATTTAGTAGTAGCAGTTCCTGGCAGTTCTTGCAATTGCTTCCCAGGAGAGTTTTTGGTGGAGGCTTTCCGAACGTTGTACGAGTCGCCACGTCTTCTTGCAAACCGTGCTGTGGCAACCAGGTTCGCTGAGGATCAGCCGGTGCCAGTTTCGTCTCTGATTGACATTCGGCAAGTGTTGTGTGATTACCGTCATTTGCTTGACTCTGCTGGGCCGCATCACAACATCGATGCAGGAGCTGTTTTCGAAGCTGATGCCAAGATCCTCTTGCTAGATAATCTTCATAGAGCACTGGCCGCTGATCATCTTGCATTTTCCCAGGACGGTAACATTGCCGGCGGTCGCAAGACCAAGTATTCGTGCAGAGCCATAGTCACGGCTGTGCAGTCCTGCACTTTGCTGCGTGATTCGAGCGACTTGCTTCGCCAGATTCGGCACTCTGTCCAATTGGTCTTGCCAGAGCAGGCAAGTGAATTGCAAGCAGCCATTGACAAGGGGTTGGTGCGAGCTCCTTCTGCAGGGTCTGTGAGTCGTTGGCGCTTGTCCGTGGATGTTGGTTTCATGTTTTTCATGAGGGAGCTCAATGCCGCATCAAGTACGCAGGCAGTGCGATGCCTGCTGACAGACTCCAGTCCCCAGAAGGGCTTCGATTGGCTATTGACAGAAACACATGTGTTGGCCCCTGCACAATTTTCTGAGTGGTGTCGTGTCATTTGGGATCTTGCTTTGACTAGGAGGCAGGCAGAGAAAGTCACGAGTGTTTTGGAATCAGCTGAGCCACTTGAAGCTGACGTGGGCCGGTATGGTCATGATCCGGAACAGCTGCGGGCAGATCTGCAAGCGTTGGAATGCCGACGGCATCTTTTGCAGAAGAAACTTGATGACTTCCCGTCTGCTTCTGGCCGAGAGGCGCTGCCAACTGTTGATGTGCACATGTGCCCACCTTCAGCTTTGGGAAGCCAGCGTTCGCAGCTTGTGCATAAAGTGCACGCACTACTTCACACTTTGCAGCTTGAGCTTGGGACATGGCCGTCTGTTGCTTGCTGCCTGGCCAGCATCCGTGGGGTCACCACGGATTTCGGTACGGAGGCAGGCCTTGCTGATGTGCAGGAAGTTGATCTTACCGACATGTTTCCGTGGGCAGCAGAAGCTTTGGATTTCGCTCGCCCCCAATGTGACCAAGAAGCCGAGCTCTTTGGAGGACATCATGTCAACCGACCCGGCCAGCAGGAGCAGGAGCAGTGCCCCTACCTGCGAATCGACCCAAAGCCTGCAGACGAAGGTGGTGGAGCCCGCATCATCCTGCCACGGCTGTTCCCCTTGGCTATGCAGATTCCCGGTGCTTTGCACGTTCTTCACCATGCCGTTGAAGAAATCACTGCTGCTTTTTCGAACTATTCTGATTGGTTCCTGCCTGGACTTCAGGCTGTGACGGCATCCTTGGGCAAAAAACATGTCCGAGAGCGCTTTGTTGCCGACATTCTCCGCAACACGCCTGGGGCAGGCTTTGAGCAGAGACTGCTAGAGCTGAAACTGAACCTTCATGAAGCTCGATGGGGAACCTTGATCAATACCTGCAAAGAACTACTTTCGGTTCGCTTGGTTTTCCTGTATTGGGACGGCGAGAGGATGTTCGGCCAGATGCCCGCTGCAGACGCCGGTGAGGAGGTCCGTGAAACCCACAGTGCAGGGGTTCGTGCAACAGAGGCTTTGAAAGATATCTCGTGGTGGTCCTATTTGGGCATGATTTTGAGACTTGCGAGAGTCGTTGACCACTTGGAGCACTGGTGCGAAGCATGTCCATGTCACTTCAAGGCCCTTGATCCGGCTGAGCCGCTGACAGGAAACAAAGCATTCAGGACAAGATACTCTTGTCCGATGGCCGGCCGGCGAGCCCCTGAGTTGGCCGCTGGTGCCTTGGGCGATCTTCTTCGAATCACTTTCTCTGATCAGAATAGCCATCTGCTGACGGATTGTTCTTCTTTGCAACGTGACCAGACAGAGCGCATCATCAAAGATTTTGCGTCCGGACAAACACGTCTGGAGCAGTTTCTCGTCACAAAATATTCATTCTGGCAGAATCTGCCACACAGCCTCTGTGTCCTTGGGCATTACTCCCAGGAAACAGCCCGAGAAGGATTGCGAAAGGCCCGCGATGTTTTCCTTCAGAATCAGGACAGTGACCGTCACCACCCGTTCACGCTTCATCTCTTTCGAGGTCCTGTGGCAGCCGAAGTAGATAGTTTCTTGCAGGGCAATGTGGAAAGGAGCAACTCGAACCTTCTGGCTAAGGAAGCTGCTGCCTGTGCTTTCATTTCATGTGTGGAACGCAGCATCGAAGCACGCCATGCCCTTTTGAAGATGAAGACTGCCGTCATGAAGAGAGTCACTCCTGCAACGTTTTCTTTGGCCGTCAGGGCGCATGAATTTACCAGACGTTGCTTGAGAGATGAGAAAGCTTTGGGGCAATGGGAGCAGCATGTTTTGAGGGTCAAGGGCCGCTCACGCAAGGGCCCGCCTGATGTCTTGATGCACCTCGGGTTCTCGAACCATCCTGAAGTTGTCAGGTTGGCCGCTGGTCCCAGATTCAGACTCAGGGATGCCTCCAACATCGTCTACCATTGCGATCTAGGCACCCAGTACCACAAAAGAGTTTCTGCTTCGAAGACAATGCGGGTGCCACAGTATCGCCAGCATCCGGACGAAGCCAAAAAGCTTCGCAGCTTAGTTCATGTTCAGGACTCCCCTGAGAAGAAACTTGAGGTGCTCCTACGCATTTTAATGTCCGAAGACTTTCGCCGGAAGTCTGCAGAGGGTCACATGTATGCCATCAGAGGGAGCAGTCCCTCCGATCGACCCCTGCAAGATGCTTTGGTGCCCAAAGCTGGGGACAGCGAACCTTCGCAGGCTGCTCAGCAGATGTTTGCAGCTCCAGACGGCCAGGATGAGGAGCTGTTTGCGGGTCAGCCAAGGGATGCCGGTGCTGTTCTTATGTTCCTGCAGGCGCGCCAGTCAGTCTTTTTAAGTTCCTTTTCTTTTCCTCGTGCACTTGTGTTTCTGTAGGGACTTATATTCACGGTCTCGCTGCTCGCCTTCTTTCACTTTGACCAGTGCTTGTTGCCTTGCTGCAGGTCGTCAAAACGAACCCGTCGCAGCAGCAACGTGTACGCACGGGTGATGCCTTCCTGCCAAAGCAGCTCAGTCATTTGGATGTGACCGTGGCTGTCCACCCTTCATCTGTCCCGAGGCCTGGTGAAGATGATTCCGATATGAGTTCACGAACCGTGGCCTTGCTGCCCCAGAGGAACTCTTCGGGACGCTGTGACCTGCGATTGTTTGACCCACCGACTGTCGCCTCCATTCCGGAGGCTTTGGAAGCTGTTACACACTGGAAAGGGTCCTCTGTCAAGGTTGCTTTTGAGCCTTCCAATGTTCCTGCCTTGCCTGATTATCTCCGTGACACAGCAAGTGCGCTCGTGGCAGACATGGCTCAGATGGGCGCCATCACTGGCAGTGCTTCTGAGCATCCTTTGTGCCTCTCCCACGCAGACGAAGCCGTTCAATCGCGACTGGAGGTGCTGGAACGTTTGCAGGATTTCGGCTTGGTTCAGGCAGTGAACTGCTTCGATGATCGCAGCTCCTGGCTTTTGAGTCCCGATGCCTTGTCCCACATGAACTTGCAACTGGATCTACAGACGCCCGAGCCGTTGTTTGCCGTGCCTGATGGTGTGCCCTCTCTCGCATGGTCGCGGATGGACATGCTTGGCTACTTGCACAAGCAAGGGTGGGCCTGCCATTTCCTTTCAGATAAAGAAGAACTAGGGGCTATTGTGCCCTTGGACTTGTCTTTCCGTATTTCCGACGACAAGAACATCTACATCTACAAGGGCACCTTGCTGAAGAACTACTTGTGCTGTCTGGCATTTGCAGATGCTGAGCTGGCTTTGCAAGACGAGGAGCAGAAAATCCAACACTTCCAGAAGAATGATTACTACATGTGCCTTTTGGGTCTGGAAGTCAAAAAAAACAAACGGAGACTGCAAGATGCTGCCGCCCTGCAGCCCAATGCCTTTCTTCTTCCGCAGGTGGACGAGGAGAGAGCAATCTTTGATGTCGAGCGGGAAGCCTTGCCTGATGGCAATCGTGCTGCCCATGACGACGCTGATTGCCTCATCGACGACGAAGGCCAAGACGACACACTTGTCGGGGATATCATGCGCTTGATGGAGGAGGACGACGGCTCTGATGGTCATGAGAGTTCTTCGGCAGCTGCTGGTGGTATTGGCTCTGTAGATTTCGGTTCGGCTGAGGATGTATCTGGGCTTCTCCTGGTGTGTGTTGTTGTTGCATCTTTTACGTGAGAAGTAGATTAATTAGATATCCTATGGTCACTCCTCGCTTTGTCTGAGGTAGCAGCACGAGCTTCCAGCGGTGATGATTCCGATAGCTCTTCCAGCTCTAGCTCAAGCTCTTCCAGCAGTTCCAGCTCCAGCACCTCTGGAACCAGTGCAGCTCCGGCTGCAGCCGTCCCTCGCAGGCCCAGGAGTCCTTCACCCGATGGTGCACATCGTCTCGTCCGGCAACGCAGAGGCGAGACCTTCGAATGGAGGGGCTTCAGGCTGACATACAGGCCAGAGGGTCCCAACCGGAATGCCGGCTACATGGCCCTCTGTAGATATCACAGTCGTTCCCACGTCAGCACAAAGTGCACTCGCACTTTGACGTGGGCTACACCTGACCAGAAAGATGCCGTCATCCGCCGCTTGAAGACTTGGTGTGTGCGGGCGCCGAACTATGCATATACAGATGAGAACCCTGACCGCAAGCCCCACCAAGGACATGATCGTGATGACATTCTGTCTGATGATGAACTGGAAAACATTCCCCTACCGCCATTCCCGGATGCCCATTAGGATCTGGTCGCTGTACGACTGGACGGTGTCCCGACTTGGAGTTAGGTTTCTTCACGATGGCAGTGGCGCCGCCAAAGGAGATGTCTGTTCGAGCGCTGCCAAAATGAAGAGGTGCTGTGCTTCCCAGCGACTCTCGGTAGCTTGAAAGCCTCACTCTGATCCTGCCGATTGACAGTGCCTTTGCACGTGTGTTTGTCTCTTGTTCGCACGTGACTCTGAGCGAGAGACTGTCTGCGTGAATGTGTGTGTGTGTGTGTGTGTGTCAGTGTGTGTGTGCGTGTAGCCTACACCATGTAGGGGCGTGGCCATATCCTTCGCAAGCTGTGGATGTCAGGAACATGTGCAATAGAACCCTCAATTAGTGTTGTGTGCCTATGCTAATACATGGGTGCCTGTGATGTCCGATTTCTGGTCTATGAACGTAGCAAAGCAGCTGCTTCAACTTGCGGAGGGGTGTGCGTTGACTTGTGTCTCTCGACTTAGGGGTTCAGGAAGCACCCATGCGTCATTCTTGGTTTTGTTCCGGATTTGCACAAAAACCCTTAGAACCAGCACAAAAAACGCAAAACAGGATCGCACGGTTCAGATTTTTGGGTTTCTTGTTGGTGGTGGGCCTGCGCAACCCGACGCACAGCCGCGCACTTCCGCGCACTTCCGCGCACTTCCGCGCACTTCCGCGCACAGGGTGCCGCGCACTTCCGCGCACTTCCGCGCACTTCCGCGCACTTCCGCGCACGGAAATGCACACTGCCGCGCGCTTCCGCGCACTTCCGCGCAATTCCGCGCACTTCCGCGCATGGAAAGGCACACTGCCGCGCACTTCCGCGCACTTCCGCGCACTTCCGCGCACTTCCGCGCACTTGCGCGCACGGGCACGCATTGGCACGCAACGAGCGCGAATGCTGCTAGGGACAACGGCTGCACTTAGCTCCTGCTGCAAGCTTTTCTTTGCATTCTGAAGCATTCTGGTTTGTAAAACTAGGAAAACCTATGTTTCCAAGCCACAGCGACCGCACTTCCGCACTTCAGTGACGTTGCCCATGCTTGCTGGGGGAGTGCTCCTTCATTTCAGCAGTTTGGAGTCTCATCAGTATTTCGGTGATCAGTGTACCGAAAACAACCAGCGAGACAGGAGAGATATAATGATTGGTGTATGGTGTTCGCAATTCAGTCAGTTCTCAGGGGGGAGGCATTGTCGCGGAACTTTAGTCTTGCTTGGTGGATCCCAGCTTTGTTGGTTCCGGCGAAAGCAGCAATGCCAGGTATCTTGATTGATTCGATTGCGGGGAGCATCAGCACATGTGCATTCCTTTTCCGATGCCACTGTGCGCAAGGCACTGGGTACCAGCCGCTTTGCATGTGTCTGAAGTCACCGAAGTCTGAAGCATGGTAGGTAGGTATAGGCTGGTGTCACGTTCATCGTGGCAAACCCTTGCATCCTTGCAGGAACACACTGTGAATACGCTAGCAGCTAGCAGCATTGTGACGCACATTTACGAAGTTGTCTACTGTAGCAAGTGCCTTGCCGTGCTCTCGTGAGCTCAGCCGTTAGCCGACATGAAGCGACCAGCGTCACAGTGCATGAAAGGCCCGGAAAGGCCTGCCAAGTCTTCGACAGCGACAGTGGCCACAGAGGTTCGCGACAGCTTTCTGCCAAGATCATCCAGCCGGGCCGTGCTGGGCGTGGGCGGGAGCCAAGCAGTGGACGAGGTGCATGGGGGTTGCCAGGGGTCTGCTGCGCTGCTCTGACTTCCTGGAACAGACTGGAACAGTGCCTGTTAGATCTGACAAACTCGCTTTGCCAGGGCTGCTGTAGAGCTGTAGAGTGTCTCTGAGCTTCTGCTGTTCCCGTCATGCCACTCTGACACTCTCGCCTTTTGCTCGTGCTTCTGGTGCCGAAGTGCTGAGCTCGAGCAGTCCTGTTGGTCCCCGAGACGTGGTCTCTAAATATAGTCACATATAGAAGAAGAGGTAGCCAAAGAGTTGACATTTCAACACAATGTTCGACCAGCCGGATGTCATGGACGTCAGCCCGGCGGCACCAGGGCCAGTGCCTGAGAAGGCCGAGTTGCCGTCGCCGCTCAAAGAAGTCAAGATGGAACCTACAGAGAGCCCCGAGAAGCCTCGCTTTGCTTGGGCTGCCTCGATGCTGGGTGCTGCTCGAGAGGCTGCTGCCGACTCTGGCACTTCGACCCCGAAAGCTCCCAATGGAATTTCAATTCCAAGGACCCGGGATGTGCAGCAGCTGATTGCTGCGAAAGGCTTCGGCGCCTTGAGTTCCGGATCTGATGGCGAAGTTGAAGCTCCACCGCCTCCGGCTGATGATGCCGGCGCCTGCAAGTGCAACTTGTGCCAGCGCAGGAGGCGGGCGCAGAAGTCCAAGTTCTGCTCTGTGTGCCGTTCCGACGTCACTGCAGCCAAGCGGGACTGTGAACGACCAGAGAACGATCGAGGCCAGTGGTTCACCGATCTTCTTCGAAAAGGAGGAGAACCTTTCGAGGACTTTATGCAGACATTCATCAAATCAAACGCCGGCAGCCGCCGAAAATACAGTCAGCGGCAGCGCTTCGACTTTATTCGTTACGAGGAATCAAGGAAGGTTCAAAGCAAGCTCCGTCTGGGCTACAAGGCGGGTTCACGGGTTCTGTATGTTCTGTCAGAGACATAGAGCAAGTAACGAGTGAATGCAGCTGTGTAGGGCAGCTTTATAAAGATTCTTTTGCGGGTCTTATCAATGAGACGAGCATTGCATTAAAGTTGTTGAATCCTTGCATTGCAGACTTTGCTTGTCACAGAACGAAATAAACCAAGACCAGGGTTTAGGTTTATAGGGTTTAGGCTTTAGGGTTTAGGGTTTGGGGTTTAGGAGTTCGGAAATGATTGATCAACTTTCCGGGAAAGGAGCAGTCTGAAGTTTTCCTCCTGGGCGCAAGAATACTTTACATGATCAGGGGACTTAGGTAAGTTTGGTTAGAAGTAAGGTCACTAGAGCAATATCTGATAGTTTCTTATAACCCAAAGTAGGGCCCTTATATTCCTACTTAGTAAGTCCCCTGATCATTTAAGTGTTCTCGATACATACTTTCGATATTATCGGCTGTCACTTCTCCGTAGTGCCGCAACACTGCCTCTCAGCCTGTGCAGGCCGTCTTTATGCACAAGGAACGTGCTGTGTCGCACTGGGTTGCAACCATTGGACTTTCCAGGATGGAAGCACTGACCAAATGGGATTTAGAGCGAGCTGCAGCACGACACGTGCTTCGCGACGGGCCGGGGGGTTCGGATCGGATCCCCGTGAAGCAAGACGACTTTCTTATTGTCGAGGACGATATCGTCGACGAGAAGCAGCTTGTGAAAAGTCACAGACAAACGAAGCACACGGAGGAGACGAATGCATTGATGCTGGATGGATTGAGTGCAGGACGGGCATTCTCCCAAGCTGATCTTGAAGAGTACGGCATTGGGCACCTGGACAACCCGGACCTGTACAAGGACTTGTTTGCTCAGCAACAGCTTGGGGCTGCTGCTGTGGAAGCCGCACCTGGCGGAGCCCCGTCTGGAGGTCCTGCAGGTGCCGCTGCAGGAGCAGAGCCGGAGGAGCTGAAAAAGCAGAAGAACTTCGACTCCGCGACGGAGCGCATGGCGCTTCGAACCAAGATTCTGGCTTCCATCGACAAGGTGGCAGCCGAATTGAAGCAGCTCATTTCCGACGCTGACTTGGAGAGCAGCAAGCAGCCAGATGAACTGCCAGGGAGCGAGGCCGAGGCCGTGCGGCTGCTGACGGGTCGTCTTAATGTGGCTATCAAATTCCTCGGGTCCTACACGGCTGGCACGGCATCCTATGAAGAAGCCGCAGCCGCCCGGGAAATGAATGAATTCCACGAAGAGCTTCAAAAAGGCCACGCCGAGATGCCTGAGGTTTTCGCTGAGGCTCCATGCCTCATTCAGCTCACCATGCAGGTGGCGGACGAGGCGAAGAAGATCAATTCTATTGCGGAGAAGAAAGCTCTTGAGAAGGAGTTCACCCCCGTCTTGAACGTCGTCAGCTTGATGAAAACTGCTCTGAAAGGTGCCCTGGACAAAGTCAAAAAAAATGCCAGAGACAGGCAAGCTCGAGCTGAGAAGGCCAAGAGGATTGCCGACCAGGCTGCTTCCAAGCAGTTGCAAGCAGACACAAAAAAGAGGCAGGCGGAAGAGCGCAAGTTGAGCAAAGCTGCCGTGAAACAAGGCAAGGTGGGATCCATGTTCGACATAGACTTCGTGAAACTTGGAGTTCGACCTCTCGAGCATGCCAACAACTCTGAGTGCATCGCGGCCCTTGATTGGACGAAGCCTTGGGTTGCCAAAACCGATTGTGAAGCCTTGGCTAAGCTCACGGACGTGCTGCAGGACACCAAGGTCAAAACGGTCCTGGACACCTTCTACTCCGGGTTCCCTGGCAGCTCGGCGGCCATCCAGGGAACCATGAGGTACACCAGTCCGGTGAAGGACTCGAGGGCCCTCCGCAGCGTCATCTTGGACACGCTCGGCTACAAGGAGACTCTGCCCCAAGGCTTCCCACTTGCTGCTCGAGAGGGAGTTTCACTAAACATCTTATACGATACCTTGAAGCCCAAAGCCTAGACCCTAAATCCCGAGCCAAAAGCTTAGATCTTAATCTTCTTCACTGCTTGATCCAGGCAGCGATGCAAAATTCTTGGAGAATTTCGACGCCGTGCAGGCGTTTGGCTATGGAGAAGAAATGACATCGGCAGGGTTGGATGCAAGGCAGCTACCGTCGCTGCGAATCCAAACGCAAGGACACCGGGCAATCGTCATGCTCCCTCTCGACAAGGTAGCGGCCTACTTGAAAGTCTGCAAAAAAGGTGAGGCTGCCAGCCACAAGGATGTCATGGACTTCATCACCACCGCACAGCCCAGCTCCGTCGCCGCATTCTTGACGATGCACCCCGACTGCCTCTTCCATGCGCTGCTGCCGAAGAACACAGTTGCTTACTGTCCTCCGGCATGGCTACTTCTCGAGAAGGCACCTGATAATGTGTCCACGAACACTCGGTATGATGGTATGTCTGGTATGCTTTCGTAGCTTAGGTGACGTGTGGATGTCAAAAGCTTGATTGATTTTGCATGAAAATTTCCCTTATGCCTTGCCAAACAGCCACAGGTGCTCAACGTTCGCTGTGTCTTCGGATTGCGTGTTCTGCTGATGCCGGACATGGACAAGGTGGGCCAGGCGGATGGTTCGATGAAGGTGGCCTCTTCTTGGTTGGCAGACGGCAGCGATGCAGCTGGCAGCCTCGCCTTGATGTACAAGAACAGTACTGCATCGGTTGCCCCGCCTGCCGCTGCACTCGAGCAAGCTGAAGCAGCACCTCGGCAGGCTGAAGAAGCACCTCAGCAAGCTGAAGAAGCACTTCGGCAACCTGATGCAGTGCAAGATCCGAAGCCAGAGGACCAGGCTGTGCCGCACGCACAAGCTTCGATCGCAGGTCCATCGGTGGAAGGAGCTGGAGGTGCCTAGAACCTCGATCGTGATGTGCTCGAGCCAGATTTTGATCTTAGATTTTCCTTTTAAGATACCGCCCTCGCGGTGAGCCTGTGAGCAGAGAGCTCGAGGCTCCTGTCATGTGTGTGTTCTGAGTTGTGTGCCTCAGGAACGAAGCTTGTGTTCAGTCTGTTGCTCCAACATGCAGAAAGAAGCACGTCCTCATATCTCCCGTGACCCCGTGACTCCTGTGTGTTGCCAGATGCAGCTGTGACGTCATATCCGCACTCACCGTTTCATGTGGGAGCAACAGCAACTTTTGCTCGGTCAGGCAGATCAAACGTGTTGGTGTGCTTGCACAAAGACCGTTGCCAGGAAAGAAAAACTCTTGGCAATCTGCTGCTGTGAATGATGGTGTTTGGTCGGTGGAGTCCAGGGTTGAAGCCCCTAGGGTTTAGGGTTTAGTACCATGCTTTGCACTGGGGTCGTCTCATGTTGTTTGCTGCAGGTGCCAGCGCCGCCGCTACCCGACGATTCCGATGCAGGAGTTGCGTGGTGCATGAAGTGGGCCGAGAGACACCTGCAGCAGCTGCCGGATGGGCTGCTTGAGGTCTTCAAGTCGAACATGGCCAGAGGCATCCAGCTTCGAACAAGATTTTCGGGAATGGAATGTCCGGGGCACGCAGCGCGGGCCATCGAGGAGGCTTGCGAGTTGAACGGCATCCATGTTCCGGCTGATCAGGGCTTCAGCCTCCACAGTGTGTGCGAGTGTGATCCTCGGGCAATCAAATGCCTCGATGCATTGCAGATGGATCCCAAGTGGGCCAAGCTGAAGCCGCAGCATGTGTTTTTCAAGATGGAGGATGCCGTGCAGCCCTCAGTTCTCGCAGAGATGCAGAAAATCGCAAAGTCCGAGAAGCAGGTTTCCGAGAAGGATGCTTGGCCCTTCATCCGCAAGTTGATGATGCCGCTGTTTGTAGACAATGGCTTGAAGATGTTTTCCATGTGCCGACGGCATAGTCAAGAGTGCAATGTGGCGGGCAGTGACGACAATGAGACCGCGGACAGCCGTCTCATTGTCGACGTGGCCGGTACACCGTGTGTGGACTGGTCTCGCCGCGGCAAGCGAGAACAGTCGCAGGGTGCCACTGCCATTCCGTACTGTGTGTGGGTCTCCCAGCTCATCTGTTCGAAGTGCTACCTTGGCATCCACGAGAATACCACAGACTTCCCGGACTGGATGTTGGAAAAGCCCTTGCACGAGTATGGTGCCAGATCATGGAGGATCCGAGTTTTTCGTGTGGACCCTACGAACTTTGGAGTGCCGTGCAGGCGCCCACGCAGGTACACTGTGTTGTGGGATGCCTCAAAGATCAACTTTACTGGAAGCTATGCAGAGTTTGTGCAACTGTTCTTCGTTTTGCCAGAGAAGAATGGAGAAATGTTTTTCAGGTCGGGAACCGACCTCCCCGCGACTTCTTCGAGGACACGCCTCGAAAATCTGCAAGCTTATTCGGATGAGTGGAACCAGCGATTGCAGGATGGACGCTCCATTGCAGACAACATCTGCGATTTGAACCAGAGACCCGGCCATGGACGATTGGACAACTACATACCCACCTTGGTGACTCAGCAATCCGTGTACAGCTTGCAAAAGCGCAAGCTGTTGACAGCAACGGAGTGCTTGGAAACGCAGCTTTTGCACCGCGGCTCTCCAGTGTACGACCTCGCAGCTTCGGGAGACTTGTCACAAGCGGCCACCCGGCATTTGGCTGGGAATGGCATGTCCGCGGTGTGCGTGGGCACACTCATGATGTATGTGGTTGCTTGTGCTACGCCGGTGACTCATCAAGATGCCTTCCAAAGCAGCTCAGCCTCATCTCGCTTCTTTTAGCTCTTTGCAATCCACGGTGTACAGTGCAGGTGTCGCAGTCCCAGTCGCAGTCGCAGGCTTTCAAAACGCAAAGAGACACAGTTGATCGTAGGGTGTCGTCGGTGTCGTTTAGGGTTTAGGGTGTAAGCTTTAGGACTTTAGGGTTTAGGGTTTAGGTTGAGGGATGGAGCAATGCAGATTGGATCTTGTGTTTGCTTTTGAGAGTCTGAAGCCCAGGCATGCGACACTTTCGGGTGTGTGAGGTCAGAGTTGAATGAGATTGAATATTCACTCATAAATTTCATACGGGATTTGCTCCCGAACATATCTATATTTTATAGACTGATATATTTCGCGATGTTTTGTATATTCCGATGATTCTTTTCGTATATCTCATTGTTGTTTGAGCCTTCCAAGGCTGCACATGAGCAGGGCCTGAGCGGGGCCTCCATGTGATGATCTTTCCAACTGCGAATGTTTTCAGATGTACATCTACAATACCTCTCGACTTTCCACTTTCCACTCTGCCGCCAATCCCTGCGCAATAGAACTTAAACCATCAACCGAACCCCGAAAACCCTTGAAACCCTGGAGGCTCACACAGTTCGAACTGAAGTGCGAACATGCTGGGTTTAGGGTTGAGGTTTTAGGGCTTAGGGTTTAGGGTTTAGCCCTCAACCCCACTCCCCTAAAACTTTGAAGGACCCTAAACTGGCTCAAAAGGCTCAAACGGCTCAAACGCAGGGCTCAAACACAGCTCATACCCGTGATGTGAGAGTTCTCTGAATGTCAGAGGTGCCGTATGTGATGCCCGAAAACCAGGGCCGGGTTGCAATTTCCTACTTCTTCCACTCTTGGACTTCGTTGACGGCGATGGGATTGCGCTTGTTGCTGTAGTCGCAGGCGTAGCCCGCCTGCGCGGCCTGGTTCACCTGGGCCTGCTGGGTCATTTCGCGCAGGCTGGCTTGGGCCGGGCAGTCATTGTCGCAGTGTCCGGACAAGGCGTGGAGGTCCTCCGTGATCGGGAAGGGATAGGGCACCTGCACGTCGCCGTTGCAGCGGAGGGCGGCCAGCAAGGCGGGGTGGTTGCCGTTGAGGTTCGGGTCGTTGCAGGGCCCCCACAGGCGACCGAGAGCGCTGCGCTTGCCCTTCACGGGCATGCCCATCTCCTCTGCCAGGCCTTGGCACACCAGCGTCGTCGTGTCGGTCAATTGCATCTCGCGCGGGAAGCCCGACTTGCACTTGGTGGGGTCCTTCTTGTCGCGGCAGTGATCCAGCGGCAGACGCGGGCCGCCCGGTTTCTTGGGCAGGTGCACGTGGTGCTGCTTCAGCTGCTGCAGGGCTTCCACGTCCTCGTCCAGGAAAAGCCGCCGCCAGGTTGTATCGTCCATGGACGCGTCGGCCTTCTGGTAGTCCGGGCGGCTCAGGGCCAGGAGGGAGTCGCGGTAGGCGGGCCACTTCTCCTCCGTTTCCTGGCGCTTGTTTTCCCATTCTTCTGGATCCCGGTAGATGGTGCGGCTGACGTGGGCGGTGTACGTGCAGTACTTCTGGAAGAGGTCCATCTTGTGCTCCGGGTTCAGCGCGAGCAGCTCCGAGAGGGATTTGAACTGGTGGAAGCACTGGAGGAAGAGCTGCGGGCAGGGCAAGCATGCGGCCGTGGTTTCGGTATCGTGTCTCTTTTTGTGCCTCGATGAATCTAGAGATTGCTGGTTCTCTCGCTGTTCGTGCGTGCGTGTGTGTTTGTTGTGTGTTGCTGGTCTAGTTGTTGTCTGAGGAGAGCGGGCCTGAAAGTGGATGTGCAGCACTCCGGACTTCTGGCACTCGATGGAGCCGTAGGCGGCGTCGAGTCGGCCGAAGATGCCCCCGCACGCCATGGCGTTGCTGCCGAACGCGTCCGTGCAGGGATTGGCGGAATTCCCGCAGTCGGGGCACTTCGGGCAGTAGCGGACACCGAAGAGGTGCCGGAGCGCCAGCTGCACCAGGATGCGGAAGCCGTCCGCGCAGGCCACGGGGTCTTTGGTCAGCATGGCTCGCCGCTCGTCGTAGGGCGGCAGCTCCGCGGCGAGTGCTTCCGGGTTCAGGCTGTAAAATTCCACGTCCAGCTCGGGCTTGCCGCGGCTCTGTGCGGCACGGTTGGTCTGGGACTCCTGGCTGAGGCTGGGGTCGGATTGCCGGGCGCGGGCCAGGCGCAGCATCACCGTGTTGTCTCGCTCGGACGGGGAGAAGGTCACGAAGAGCGGGGTGCCGTGGCAGACCCGATTGGCGTGGGTTTGGTGGCGCATGGTCGTGCGCACCTCGTGGGTGCCGGGGGTGTTCCGGCTGCGCGCCACCGTGTTGTCCAAGACCTGCGGCTTTTTCTGGCTTTTGTTACATCATTATAAGGGTCCCGAGCCTACGTATTCAAGTTTTATTTCCCGGTTGTACTATAGTCTTTACCTGCAGCTTCTGTTGGTGTCGTCGGTTGCAAGCTGGGCTCTGGCAGTGGTTTTCCTGTTTTGCGCGCCTTCACAGCTGCCGGCTGCAGTCCGGTGGCAAAGCGCACCTTGCTCAGGTCTCCGTTGATGGCCTTCGTCTGGCCGTTGACGTCGAGGTACTGCCCTTTGACCAGCTCTTTCTGGATTTGCTTGCCGCCGTCCAGGATCTCTTGGCTGGTCAGTGCTCTGCGTCCGTTGTTGTCGTCGGGGACGCTGTAGATGAAGGTGTTCTGCTGCAGGTTCACCATGGTCCT